ATCACAATGCACATTTCTCCTCCTTCAGGTAATCTATGCTCTAGCCATATGGGTCTTCTTGCTGGGGCTCAAAACATTCCAGGTCCTGTATTTATCTTTGCACAGACTACCCAATATACCTGAAATACATTACCTCTTAAAATCTCTACCTTTCTTCAAAGCTCAGTTCAAATGGCACACCTCCTACCAGAAAAGGTTTTTCTTTCTAGAAATAGCAACAGCATCCTACCTCGTCCGGAAATTACCCTTCATTTATTTTGTACGTATTTTGTATAGACTTATATGTGTACATATAATGAAAGCAGCAGGAAGACAGAGACTTTTGTCATTGGGTCCCTACTGCCTAAAATGGTGCCTGGCACAGAACAGACTGCTATTAAATGCTTGATGACAGATTGCTAGAATAGCAAAGAGTGAATTAAAATGATGGTCATGCTGTTAAGCACAGTAAGATGAATTTTTTAAATTGAAAAAAAGTATTCAATTTCTTTAATTTTTTTTTAGATTAAAGGTATTTGCTCAAAAGAACCCAGTGCTTTTAGTAAATGACTGGTTTCTTAGTGTTAAAACTGCTTAGAAAAACATCTAATTGTCAAGTTATATGTAAAATATGTACCAAAGGTACTACTTTAAACCCATATGAATATTGTTGTTAACTTAGTTCTGAGGTCTGTGTTCTTTGCTAAAAGTTATTAGTTTTTATTCTCCAAATAATGAATCATAAAGCGATTGAAGGAGTTATGAAATAATTCACGTAATGACATGGGCTATAGTATCAATGAATATAAAAGGTATAACTACATGAAAACAAAAAAAAAATCTATTAAAAACAAATGAGATTAAGGATGAAACTGAAAAACATGATAAAATAATATTTAAAAGATAATGATATTAATAGCCCTTATCAAAATGGTTCTTAGAAGAAAAATTATAACAGTATACCTGCATCAATAAGAGAAAATAAAAGATTAGATGAATTATCTGTACCAAAAGAAACTGGAAAAGGGAAGGGGGAGAGAAGGAAATTCCAAAAAACATAAGGAAATAGAGCTAATAAAAATGAGAGCAGGAGTAAATAAATAATTGCTCTCATTTTATGGATGAGGAAACTGAAGTAATGAAATGACTTGGCAAGGTCACACACCTTAATTAGTCTCCAAGCCAGAATTTAAATACAGATGTTCTCATCCAAGCCCAAGGTGCTTTCAAGTAACTCTTTCCACCTGAAGCCCTTTGTTTTAGGGAAGTGGATGGAGGGTGATACATAGATTTAGTATGGAAAATACCCCTTGTCTAGTTAAAGTCATCCTTTTTCCCCATCCCATGAAAGGATAAAGGGTTCCCCACCCCTGAAGGATACGGAGGAGAGGGAAAAGGTTTCTGCCTATGTTAATTCTCCTTTGTCCAGCTAGAAAGGAGAGCCCATGATGGACATGGTAAAACAGGATTAGGGGATTTTAGGAAAATGATTCTCCATGAGTATGCCTAAAGTTCAAGTAACAATTTTTCTGTTTGATTAAGCAAAATATGAACTTTTACCTTGCCCTGAGCTGTAATTGTATTTCACCATATTGTAAAAGTTTCATTATTTAAAATGTGACATTGGAATGACTTGTGTTAAAGAGATATGTGAGACCTTGAGGGGATTCTATCATTTCTCTCTCCAAGTAGAACAATGCTTAGATTTAGATTAATATAAAATTAGTTTAAAAATTATTTCTTGTGGCCTTGTGCTTATAATGTAGAAAATTAATATTTTCCTTGATATCTTTTTTTTTTAAATTTTTGCTAGGCAATGAGGCTAAGTGACTTGCCCAGGGTCACACAGCTAGTAAGTATCAAGTGTCTGAGGCTGGTTTTGAGCTCAGGTCCTCCTGACTCCAGGGCTGGTGCTCTATCCACTGCACCACCATAATAAACTTTTAACTGTTAACAGACTAACATTAAAATTAGGGTTATTCCCTGACCATGAACATTGGTAAGTATAGTCCTGAAGCATGCTAATTGGCCCAGGAAGAATAGAATGGGATAAAAAATTAATCAGAAAAATTTTTTTTTAATTGAATGATTTGGGGCAGCTATGTGGTGCAGTGGATAGAGCACTGGCCTTGGAGTCAGGAAGACCTGAGTTCAAATCTGGCCTCAGACCACTTGAAACTTACTAGCTGTGTGACCCTGGGCAAGTCACTTAACCCCATTGCCTAGCCAAAAGAAAAGAAAAAGAAAAAATTAATTACAGTTCATAGTCACAAATTTAAATCTGAAAAGGACTTTGGACATCACATAGTCCAATCCTTTTTTATATAAATGAGGAAACAGGCTCAGAGAGAATTAAGGTGATTTGCCTAAGGTTCTGTGGGGTGCTAGGGTTAGGTGGGGTTTCATTAGCATTGGGAAGTCTTGGTAGGGAAGCCCAAATAAATCATACAGCCAAGATGATCTCAAAATGGATTCTATATACATGAGAAGTAATATGATTAACTGTCCTTTGATTATCTCTGTATGCATCCATGTGATTTTTTCCCCCTTTTTTACATATTTTATTTTCCCCCAATTACATGTTAAAACAATTTTTAAACATTTTTAAGTGTTGAGTTCCAAATTCTATCCCTCCCTCTCCTCCCCTCTCTCTGAGACAGTAAGTAACACAACATGGTTTATACATGTGCAGTCATGTAAACATTTCCATACTGCTCATTCTGTATAAGAAGACTCAAGAAAATTTGAAAGGCAGCATGGTGTAATGAATAGAAAGCTGATAATGGAATCTGTAAGATCTTGGTTCAAGGTCCACCCCAGATGTATCCTATGTGACCAAGGGCAAATCACTTAACCTTTTAATGTCCCCAGGCAAGGTGCTGTGCTCTATGAGCAAAGCAGAATTGAAGTAGTTAAAAAAAAAACACACACAAAAAACAAAACCAAAAAAACTGGGAGATGGGCAAATTTAGAGACCCTGCCCCAAATGTTCACACGGACTATCTGTGCCCAGCCTGTGGTAGAATACTCCGAGCTCATACTGGTCTGATCAGCCACAGTCAGGGCACATTATAACTTGACTCTAACATAGTGACATCATTTTGGTCCTCTCAAGAAGGAAGGACAACAATTGGCCCCAGGCAACTTTCTAAGAAAACAAATTGCAGATGTGATGCTGTTCTGAACTGGTAGAAGGAGTTTCCTTAACAGACTTTCTCAAACCCTTAAAGGAATTTTCAAAGAAATCATGTCTATATTTGAATCCCCCATCCACCAGCATGTTATAATTTATCTTCTAAGTTTCGAAATTAATTTTTTTTACAAGAATGAATTAGAAAGCAAGTTTCTTATAAGGAGAAGAAACTGAGGCACATAAATTAAAACCAGGCATATGGTAAACTTGAAATGAATATTTCTTTGTTTAAAGCAATTTGCCCAATGATCCAAACACTGTATCAGTGGCATATGTAGGGCTAAGCCGTTGAACTGTTGAATGTTTTTTGAATGAATATTTTAAAATAAGTTTTTATCATGAAAGATCTTGATTAATTTGATAAATAATTCGTTTACCAGGTACATACTATGTGCCAAGCACTATTCTGGAAACGGAGATACAAAAAAACAAAAGTGATTCCAGCCTTCAAGAAGCTTACCTTCAATCGGGAGGTACAAGGGTAACACACACACACACACAGACACACACAGACACACACAGACACACACACACACACACACTATACATTATATTTTATTTATATATAAAATACATTTTATATACACATACAATATATACACAGTGTATAATATAATATATACAATGTATATACATATATGTATATACATAGATTATAGATATATACACATATTTTGTTTATATATGTGCGAGTATATATACACACCCACTTTGTATATATTATATATGTACATATATGCCCACATATACTTTGTACATTTTTACATATGCACACATACTTTTATATATACAAATATATTTTGCATACATGCATATACAAAATAATTTGGAGGGGGAGGTCTTAGAATCATCACTCCTTTTTATTCTTTCTTAGGTTCTGTGGAATAGTAGGGTTAGGGAGGGTTCTAAACCTCAGATTTCATTAGTGTTGGGAAGTCTCGGTAGGGAAACTCCATCTTCAATTGTAGGTTAGCACCGGCTTTGAAGTTTGCTGTCTTAGAGAGTTAATTACCTGGGTGCAATGAGACATTAAGTGGCTTGTCCAGGTCACGTAATCAGTGTGTATCATAGGTGGGACTTGATCCTGAGGTCAGCTGTTTTTTTCTTCATTCTGTCATGCTACCTTTCTTCATTTATTTTTTTATGGCTTCAAGTATGATTTTATTCTGTTTTGTTCTCATGGAGATGGTTATTAAGTTGGTCATAACATTATTTTAAAATTAATAATTATACTGTATTAAAGTGGTGGTCTGCCAAAAGCCTCTCCAAAAAGGAGGATTTTGGACAGCAGCCTTGGGGATGAACCCCAGAGGGCTGGAAGGCAGGCTTTGAGAGAAGCCAAGCCAGAGGACAGAGAGTGCTCTGGCCTCTCCTTTCCAGGATACTGGAGCTCATGGTCAGGCTGGACAGCAGCAAGATTGATCCGTGTGCTGGCTATTACCTGTCTTCATTTATTTTTAAAAATGTAAACTATGGGGTAACACTCAAAGGATGGTGTGGAAATGAGAAAAGACATCAATTTGCCTTGACTAAAATCTAACTGCTTTCAAAAATATTCCAATGGAGGAAAACCCAAGGCTGATTTTGGTTGCAAAAGTTCATAACAATGCTATCTTGGCAAAAATTTAACCTTTCTCTATCTCTGGTTCCCCATCTGTAAACAAGTGTTAGATTACAGGATTTCAATGGTCCCTTCCATCTCTGAAATTCCATGATTCAATGAAATTGGGTCCAAAATGAGTTTTTCATGTTCTGTAATGTTTAATAGAAAGAAACAATCTTCCTAAACAAGCTGCATTTCAATATTTTATAGGAAAAAATCACTTACCACATGATTATCTTGGTTGTCATTAATCTCAGAAAGTCTGGTACTGGGATTTCTGTCTTTTAGGTTTGCTGTTTTCTTCGATATATACACAGATGTTTTCCTGGTATTTTTCTGCTTCCTGTGCAGTCAAAATACAATCCTCGAGGCTGCTGAACTCAGAAGGAATATTTTCTTTGTTGATAAGTACCCTTCAATTTAAAAAACAAGTATGACTTTTTTATGCCTAATTTTACTGATAGGAGAAAAGACCCATGATCATAAATCATCAGAGCTCACTGAAGAAGGAGAGATGAGTACCAGGGATTCCCAGGTCTCACCCTGAGATTAAAGGCAAAAGCACCACAACTCCTGAGCAACAGCCTGTGCAAATCCGTATGCTAAATAAGTTACTTATTTTGCAAGGCAAGTTATTCTTGGACACAAATTTGCAAGGGCTACTATTCTACAATGTATAATTTTTTCAATTGTAGGCAAAATAATGTATATATTTTTTTAAAAGGGAGAAGAATTAAAAATTCAAAAGAGGCTTCTGGGATATAGGTTTGAAGGGATTTATCTTTTGGTCGTAAAGAGAATCTGATACCTGGGAAAGGAAATCAAATGTCCTATTATAAAATGTGAGATTTATCACCCTTGTGGGAAATATTAAAAAGCAATTAGAAAATAACATATTTTTTTCTTCTCCAATACATCCCCCAAACTTCCCTAGTGCTATGCTAATGCAGTGGACAAAGTAAAACCTCAATAAAATAAGTTAATCAAAGGGCAAAGTTTCAATTAGGTAAGAGTCTAATATTTAAAATGCAGTTTGGTTTCTTTTCTGTTTGTGCAATATTAGAAATGAGTTTTATAAGAGGATATAATAACCTAATTTTATGAATAGATAAGAATTTTCTGAAATTAGCATAGGTATTATGAGCAAACAAAACTTCTAAATTTCTTAAAAATAGATCTCTTTAAATAGCTTAAATATGCTGTCATGAAATTTTATTTAAACTACAAATTTATTTAGCAAATTTCTTTCCATAAATGTCCAAATTACATTACCTAATAGAGAAGAAAGTAATAAGGTGTCTTGGACAAACTATTATTGTCTGCAAATCCTGCTCCCCGGGAGGCTGAGACTGGTAGATCACTTGAACTCAGGAGTCCAGAGCTGAAGTGGACTAAAGTTCAGTGGGTGGCCTCACTGTCACCAAATAGTGAGCTCACAAGAACAGGGAGGCCCTAAGCTGCCTAAGAAGGAGTGAAACTGAGCCGATCAGAGCTCCTAAGCATATCAGCAGTGGGTTAGGCCCCTGTGAGCAGCTGCAGAAGAAGAATCAGTAGAAGAGGGAGGAGGAAGGGGAGGAGGAAGAGATGGGGAAGGTGGGGCAGGATGGAGAAGAGAAAGAGGAGGAAGAGAAGAAGGAGGGTAGAAGAGAGGGAGGGGGAGGAGGAGAAGGAGGAGGAAAGAAGAGGAGAAGGGGGAAGAGGAGGAAGATGAGGAGTAGGAGGAAGAGAAGGAGAAAGAAGAGCAGGAGATGAAGGAAGAGGAGAAGGGGGGAAGAAGGGGAGAAGGAGAAGAAGGAGGAGAAGGAGGAAGAGAAGAAGGAGGGGGGAGGAGGAGGAGATTGGCAAAAATGATAGTTATGACCCGCATTTATATAACAATGATGCAATTTCATAGTGCTCTCCTCACAAACCTCTAGAATTTGGGTCATGCAAATACTAATTTTTCCATTTAAAAGATGAGGAAACTGAGTTTCAAAGAGATTAAGAGGTTTTCACAGTCCCAGTTAGTAAGTAGGAAAGACAAAATTTTAATTCAGTTCCACTAACTTCAAATTTGCTGCACTTTGCACTTTTTTTTTTTAAATCTCAGCTCCCATCCCACTCCTTTCCTCCACCTAAGGAACATGCCCGCGGAAACGGCTAAACAAAACCATCTCTCAACTGACTGACTGATTGGTTGATTGAGAACACATGCCCCATTCTTCCCTTGTCTACCAAAAAGGGAAAGGTGTATTTCACCATCTGCTTTCCAAATGGTCACTCAGACTATGGTGACTGCAGTGGTGATGACGTACACGGTTCTCATTTTCTTCTCTATTAGTTCCTACCGGTCTCATATTTCTCATCTTATGACACAATAATATTTCATCACATTCATGTACCACCATTTGTTTATTCATTCCCCCATCAAATCACCCACTTTGTTTTCATTTTTGGCATCTCTAGGTTATGAATACCTTAGTGATTTTTCTCATATAAATTCAAATTATTTTCCAAAATAGTTGAACCATTTCAGTATTCCACCAAAAGTGAGCCTTTTAGCAGGAGCTTCTAGGTGGTGCAGTGGATAGAGCACTAGATCTGAGTTCAAATGTAGCTTCAAGTTACTTTCTAGCTGGGTGACCCTGGACCAATCTCCTAACTGCTGTTTGCCTTAGTTTCCTCATCTGTAAAACAGGGATAATAATAGCAACTATTTCCCAGGATTGTTGTGAGGATCAAATAAGATAATAATAGTAAAATACTTAGCACAGTGACTGGAACATAGTAAATGCTATGTTAATGTTAGTTATTATTATATTCCCAAATAACCTTTAACGTAGAATTGTCAATCTTTGTTGATCTTCTGGGTCTGAGGTATAACCTTAGCGTAGTTATAATTTTTTCATATTATTAGTGATTTAGAACAATCTTTTACATAGTTGTTGATAGTTTAAAATTCTGCTCTTGAAAACTACTCATATCTTTTGAGCGGGGAGGGGGGCATCTCCAGTCGTCTTGATCTATACCTGGCCACTGGACCCAGATGGCTCCGTAGGAGAAAGTGAGACTTTGCACACCCTCCCTTGCTTAAATCCAATTCATTTGCAAGTCATGGCATCATCTTCTGGATGTCATGGTTCTCTTCAAGAACGAAGGACAAACAACAATATTTTTTGACCGCTCAGCTACTGAAAGGCACCTTACAGATCATCTAGCTTTTGGATTCTAGTGCAATCCCCTTATTTTATGGGTGAGGAAACGCAGACCTGAGGATGGTCAATGGGCAAGGTCACACAGGCTGCAGGTGACAGAGCCAGGATGTGTAACCAGGTTCTCTGACCCCAAGTCCAACATTCTTTTCACTATATCCTGCTGCAGTTTTTATGTTTAAATCCTAAAAAGTGTTTTTAAAAAGTAATAAAGAAAATTCCTTCACAATTTCTAGTACTTCCAAAGGAGCCCAGTAGAATAAAACCTATTAAAATATACAAAATGAAATGTCACCACTATGCCTAGCTTAAGTAGGAATTTTGTTTTTCCCTGCAGGAAATATATTTCTTGTGGAGAAGTTGCTAGGGAAAGCAAATATTTAAGTCATGATGCCTTTAGTACACAAGTCCTTATGTGAATTATCTCAAAATTCTGTGCTATGTTTGCACGTGGTGTGAGGTATGGTTGGACAGATGAGCACCAATATATTTTTTCCCTCATTTTGTTTGGGTACAGGTCTTATCATCAGTTTGGTTTTTTATTTTTTTTAAATTTCCTTTAAGCTCTGCCATATTCCATTTTTTCTCCAACTGTGCACTACTTCATTATAACCCTCACAGAAATAGTCTTCAAACTTCCATGTATTTTTGTTTTCACAAATAATAATACAATCCTGCTCATATTTCTTTATCAATTTATACAAGTAAATTGCCTCCTAATGATGGACCGTTGCTATGTCTAACCTCTGACCTACCTACGTCAAAAGTTGCTTGATTGGGTATACCAGTGAAAAGAGCTTTTAGCTTTTCAGACAGACTTAATAGAACTTTTTCTATCTCTTTACTCTTTATTTTAAATGTTTTTACTTTTACGGGTTTTTTTTTTGCTTTACTCTTTATTTTAAATGTACAGTTATCCCTTCCACATTGCAACTTTCCCCATCACAATTTCAACATACCGCAGGTCAGCATAAGAAATTAAATGGGAATTTTTTTGGAGTTTTGCAGAAGCCACAGATGACACATACAGGCCAGCATACAACACAGAAAAAGTTTAGAAACTAAGAAATGCATAAAATATATGTATAGTATTGTATAATACCATAATAATCCAGACTTCTCTGGTACAAAGAGAGGGCCAAAAACTTTTACGTGGATTTTCCAGATTGAAGGGGATGCCAGGTCCCTAACCCCTATGATGTGGAAGGATATCTGTATAGCCTATAAGGACAGCAGTAAATGGTTCTATCTTAATCTACATATTTAATATATACTTTATTCAATCAATCAATAAGCTTTTATTTAGTTATGTATTGTCTAAGGGATAAAAGGACAAAAATGGAGTACTTCCTGACCTCAAGGAACTTACATTCTATTGGGGAAAACAAGATGTGCACAACTAGTATATACAAATTAGATTTGAAGTAATTCCAGGAAGTAGCAGTAGAAGCCGAGGCATGAGGAAAGGCTTCCTATAGGAGGTCGCCTTGGTCTGAGCTTTGAAGGAAGTCTGGGATTCTATGGGACAGAGGTAAGGAGACAGGGCATGCCAGGCATGGGAGATGGCCTGGATTTTCAAAAACTCATTACTGCCTCTAACCAGTCCATATATTTTAAGGGTAGCAGATACTGGGGCAGAAATGTTATAAAAAAAAAAATAGAAAGATACTACTACTACTATACACAAGTAATTCAAAAATTTTTTCTTATTAAACTTATAGTACAGTAACCATTACAACAGCAAGATATTCTTTTCTTTTACTCCTATATATTCTTTTTAATTGTAAGACATCCTTTTATCTGTATTTTCTGAGAGATAATATTGATCTTCAGTATAACACTACACCTACAATGTAAGCCTTGTTCCCTAACACTCACCTTTAGGTTGTATATGTGAATGCCTTATACCTGAGACTTTAATGAAAGTGACATTTCTTGCATATTTCCTCCATTAATGGTATCTAAATCGGATCTGCCCTATGATAAGTTCTTCTCTATAGTCATAATGTTAGAGTGACATTTAATAGTAACAATAAGTGACATTTCTATAGTGCTATAAAATGGCAAAGTACTTCAAATAGATATCTCATCCTCACAACAGGCTCAAAGAAATTAAGTAAAAAAAAGAAATTAAGTGACTAAATCACATAGCAAGGATGTGTCAGAATTAGGATTTGAACTCAGATCTTCTAACTTTAAGATCAGCACTATTTCTACCACACCAATACTACTTTTCTACCTTTCCTCAGGCTAATGTTTTAGAAGAACCTACTGAGCCCTCCCTCACTTAAATCCAATTCACTTGCATGTCATGGCATCACCTCCCTGATGTCATGGTCCTTTTCCAGAACAATGGACCAGCAACAGCTCATTCATGAACTAGTCTAAGAATCAAAGGGATTAGGTTTCACAACCAAAAACAACACTGTAGCTAGATATTTTATAAATACCACATCATAGGTCTGCTTTCCTTCCAAATGGTTTACTATTACCCCAAAATAGGTTGTTAGTGGGGAAAACAAGACTTCTAAGTAAAGTCTGAACAAATTTCTACATGAAAAGTGACAATTGTTATCAATCAAAAATGCTTCTAAATACATGAAATTTTGGGGGGGGCTATAAAGATATAACCAATAAACATAGCTGCAGCATAGCAATATTTTAGGAATGCATATATAGTTAGAGATTTGTATGTGCAATTACCATATTTACATATGCATAAACACAAAAGGAATGTTTCCCATCTTACCTTTCTCTGTTATGTCTGATTTCATTCTGATTCTTGTTATGCCACCTTTTCTGCCTGGCAGCTGCTGTGGAAGAAGCTGATGGTCCCCCACATTCTGAATCTTCTGAACTTTGACCCCCAGAGTCTTGAACATCAAAAAGATGCTGTTCCACAGTTGATCGAATTGTTCTTTCTAAGAACCTAGTAAGTAAAAAACATCTTTGGTCAATTACAAGTTTTAGCATCTACAGAGTGATTGCCATTAAAACATGTCTCCACAATCTTAATTTTTTGTGGGGAGGAGGGGCTAGGCAATGGGGTTAAGTGACTTGCCCAGGGTCATATAACTAGTGAGTGTTATATGTCTGAGGCCATATTTGAACTCAGATCCCCCTGACTCCAGGGCCAGTGTTCTATCCACTGCGCAACCTACCTGCCCCCATAATCTTACTTTTTTTCAGTATATGGTAATGAATTTGTGGCTTTGGTATGTCTGTCATACCAGGCAACACATGGGACTTTAGCCTCCACATGCTTACGCAACACATTCTCTTTTAAATGAAACATTTCATTAGTTCTTTACATGTGTTCTGAGTCTTTGCATGGTATCTAAAGTCACAGAAATGTATATAGTAAGCAAAGGAAGGATGATAGGAAGTATTCGGGAAGAAAGTGTCATTGAAAATAAAGTAGAATAAGGAAAGAAAATTTTTCTTTAGAGAACAATTAATAGACCCATTCTTAGGAAAGCAGGTCTTCTTGAGGTTTTGGTAAATAAATTGTTCATAGAGGAGGTTAACAGAAAGAGATAGCAGGGCTTTTATAAGAAGCCAAGCCAAACATCAGATCAATCTTAATCTGCCTATTAAATCTGGTAATGTCTCTTTAAGAAAAAAAAAAGGAAATAGATGGGTAACTATTCTTTGACCTCCTTTCCTTGACCTCCATCCGCAAAGATGCAATTACTACTCATTACAGCAAATTAACACAATCCTTTCTTGAGTTCTGTTCAATTTAGATATTATGCATATCATTAATATGGCTGGTGTTGCTTTAAATACTCACAATATATCAGCTGAAAGGTTGGATTTATTTGGGTCGAAATGGGTAGATGCTCAGAAGAAAAAGACAAAAATTGGGCATTAGGCCCTCTAGAGGGAGCTTGGCCTACATCTTGGGAGGAAATACTGATGGTGAGGAAGGATAGAAATATGTCTATAAACATCTATGTATGTGTGTGTATATATGTATATATATATATATATATATATATATATATATATATATACATACAACATGCATACACAAATATATACACACATATGCATATACCTATGTGATATATATGTATGTGTGTATATATGTTTACAGACATGCTTCTGTATTATATCATCATAGGTATTTACAATGCAATATATGTATTTCTATATACATAGATTACACTCTATGTGTGCATGTATATATATATATATATTGTACATATTCTTTTTCTGACTGGAACTGTCACTTTATTGGGCTAGGGAACTCCTGATGGGGAATTCCCTCTACCAAAGATGATGAGCAGCACCTCATGTGTATTTTACAACGTTAGAGACTTGTCTGGAGGCAAGGAGAAATGAACTACTAGTCCAGTTTCACATAGCCTGTGTCGGAGGGGGAGGTTTGAACCCTGGTTTTCCCAGATTAAGGTGAGCTTTCTATCCATTATCCCATGCCACCTGATAGAAATATCACAAATGCACAAGGAGACTTGTTATTTGATATATCTAAGCAGTTAAAAAAATCAATATAGTAAAGTTAAAAGATAGATTCATCTTAGATTCCGAAGACCTCAGTTCAAGCTTTGCCCCCACACTGGCTGTGGGCCAAGTTGCTCTGTCTTTCTGAGCTTCACTTTCTTCATCTATAAAAATGGGGTTAATAATATTTACATTTATTTCACAATGTTTTAAGAGGAAAGTGCTTTGTAAATCCTAAAGTAGTATATAAATGTCAATTACTGACATTATTTCAAGTTATATATGTGTGACATGTTAAACACCTTAGCTTGAAAAGGCAAGCTCCCGCACTGCATCCTGGGCTATCTCCAGTTGTCCTGATCCATATCTGGCCACTAGACCCAGATGGCTCCGGAGGAGAAAGTGAGGGGGATGACTTTGCACAGCCCTGCCTCACTTAAATCCAATTCACTTGCATGTCATGGTGTCACCTCCCTGATGTCAAGGTCTTCTTTCGAGAATGAATGATAAATATCAGCAGCAGCAGCAAACACATATCATTCACTCACTTACATATATACATTGCCTATTTGACCCTATGCAAGTCATTAACTCAATGCTCTAGGCGACCAACTCTGTAAGACTAAAACAGAAAAGGCGCTGACCAGCATTGGTAGAGAAAGTTTCCTATCAAGACACTTCACTATAGCTTATGAAATTATGGCTCCAGTCGCTCTCCATGAATTCAATACCTTTTGTCTTTCAATAAAGTTGCTTTTCTTGTTTGTTTTTTCACAATGAGAGAATTAGAATGAATAGATCTGCATTACTTACTCTCCAGTTGTTGGAACATTATTGACTTGGGACGCAGGAGCGCTGTATAAAAAACAAAACAAAACAAAAGGAAAGATTGGTAATGAAATATCTGAATAAAAAATCAAAGGGACCTCATGAGGTCATCTCTATTCAAACGATCCTCAGATAGATCATTAAATGGTCTATTTCTATTTATATCAAGGGTTTTTGAGGGCAGCTTTGTCCTAGACAAATGGATGATCTCTTTGGCTTTATGCTGTCAGTAACATCCCTCATTGGCAGGATGCCTTTTCACAGAGGTAGTATTTCGTAGCACAGTGGATAGAATACTGGTCTCAGATTCTTGCTGGCTGTGTGACCCTCGGTAAGTCACTTAACCTCTGTTTGCCTCAGTTTCAATGGTAAAATAGAGATAATAATAGCATCTGCCTTCCAGGATTGTATGAGGATCAAATGAAAGAATATTTCTTTTAAAAAAAAACACAGCAAAGTGCACATAGTAGGTTCTATATAAAATACTTGTTTTATACAGTGCAATATATATGTATATATGTACATATATATATATATATTCATAGCATAAATCCTTTAACTATATTTAATCTACTGTGGCTTACATTTAGCCCCTAGGGAAGATGAAGAAGGCACTTACTACATTGTTTAATCATTCTCATAATCAGTAAGTTTTTATCTAATAAAATATTTTCTTGTTACAACTGTAAATTTTTCATCTGGTTACAGTATTAGAGAAGGAGGATACACAATCAGTATTCTTTCCAAAATGATTTTTTTAAATCAAATTGAGTCCTTCCTTAATTTCTTCTGTGGGCTTAAGAAGCCTAAATTTCCCCATAAGATCTATTTTCTATCCTTTTCATTTAACCGCTGTTCATTTCTGAAATTTTTCTTGTTCCTATATCTAAGAGTTTGAATAATCCAAGAAATGCATCAAACACCAAATCTGGATAATGAACTTATATCTACAGATTTTTATCCTTCAAACATTTTACCTTTATCAGTGCACATATCCATGTATTTATATTATTTTAAAACAGTGGGGTCAAACTGAAATTGAAAAGGATCCCTGGGGGTCATATACTAATTTTAAAACCACAAATCAACATTATCTATATTGCATTATGTTTTTAATTTATTTTGTTAAGTATTTTCCAATTACATTTTAAACTGGTTCAGCACCAGAGAGTTTTATTGGGCATCTTGTGGCCAGTTTGAGCTTATGGTCTCCTCATCTGACACCTCTGTTAAGCATTCTGTTGCTTAGCATTCTTTTTGGTCTTTCACATGAGTGTGGTTTTATTCTGAGCCAAGATTTAAAAGTGTTTATATTTTAAAAGTGTTTATATTTGAAAATACCAAGAGATTTGGTTTTTGAAATCTTCAAGATATGACAAAATATGGTTCTTTCTGTAATATTTCTTTCTTGGCTTTCAATGTTTTATTTCTTTTTATTTTCTCTCTGAATGCCCATCTGTGTCTTTTTAGCTATCTCTTTGACTCAAACATCACTGTAGATGGTGACTGTAGCCATAAAATTAAAAGCTGCTTGATCCTTGGAAGGAAAGCTATGGCAAATCTGGACAGCATACTAAAAAGCGGAGACATCACCTTGCTGACAAAGGTCTGTAGAGTCAAAGCTATGGTTTTTTCCAGTGGCAATGTATGGCTGTTAGAGTTGGATTATAAAGAAAGCTGAGCATTGCAGAATTGATGCTTTGGAATTGTGGTACTGGGGAAGACTTTTTAGAGTTCCTTGGACAGCAAAGAGATCAAATTAGTACTTTAAAAATTAATACAGATGATTCACTAGAAAGTTAAATAATGAAGCTGAAGCTTAAATACTTTGGCCGCTTAATGAGAAGACAGGACTCATTGGAAAAGACTCTGATGTTGGGAAAGATTGAAGGCAAAAAGAAAAGGGGACAGCAGAGGATGAGATCGATGGAAAGTGTCATGGAAGCAATGAACAAGAGCTTGGACAGACTTTGGGAGACAGTAGAGGACGGAAGGTCCTGGTGTGCTATGGTCCATGGGGTCATGAAGAGTTGGACACAATTCAACAACAACAATAAATGACTTAATACTTGAGGGAAAACTATTATATCTTAATATCTTTTTACATCTGACCTCTCTACACTTGTTTCCTTTACTAAGGAAAATAGGGAGTTGGAGCAGATTTCTAAAAGGTAAGAGAATCACAAAACCTTAGAATTAAAAGGGGCCTCAGAGACCATCAAGTCCAAGTCCCATACTTGACCAAGGATCCCCTTTATATCTTTGCTGGTAGATAGTCATTCAGCCTCCACTTGAAAACTTGACTCAGCAGTCAGAGGTCCTAGGTTCCAATCTTGCCTCTGACACTACCTGTATGACCTTGGGAAAGTCACTTAACTCCTCTCAGCCTCAGTTTCCATATCTGTAAAAGGAGGAATTAGACCAACTGTCTTCTAATCTCCTTTCCCATCTAAATCTGTGATTCTGTGAGACTGTGACCCCCAGTGAGAAGAAACTCCTCACCTCCAAAGTCAGCCCATTCCACATTTGAATAACTCTGATTGATACCTGACATCCACAGCTTCCATCCTTTGCTTCTTGGTCTTCCCATTGGCATCAAGCAGAACGAATCTATTCTCTTTCTCACATAAAACCCATTCAAATACTTGAAAATGTAGCCTGGATTGTCCCCACCATTCCCATCCTTCGCTCCTACCCATAGGCTGCTTGAAAAAGGAAGTTTCCCAACAGCAATAACTGGGCACATTATAAATTCAAGCTTTCCAGCTTCAACGGGGCCTTCACTGAGACAAGGGAGGTTTTTCATTCTTCCCTAATTGATTCCCTATCTCATTCCCCAGAGAAGCTACTCCCAACCTTGCCTGCCCTCCTACCCTTCTCTCCTTCCCTCTTCACCCTACTTCCTTTTATCTGAAGTTCTGGCCTCTTACTTTACAGAGACTACTGATGCCATTTCATTTCAGCATCCTCTTTTTTCTCTTCCCCTAAAAATTTCTCGATTTTCTTCCTCTACTCTCTCAGGACCCCCTGTCTCTGATACAGAAACGGCCTTTTTCCTTCCCAATGTCAGCTCTCCTGTTCTCGATCCCATTCTTGCCCAACTTCTCCGGCAGATTTGGACCACAGCCATCTCTTCCCTCTTGAATCTTCAACCTCTACCTAACTACTGATTGCTTTCTCATTGCCTTTAAGCATAGCCAAATATCTTATCCTAAAAAGAAAAAAAAAGATCCCTCTCTTTGATCAGACTTTCAAGCTATCATATTCTATCTCTACTCCTGTTCTCAAACTTACTGAAAAACCTGTATATACTTACTGCCTCCATTTCCTTTCCTCTTAATGACTCCAAAATGTGTCTTTCAATCTCATTGCTTAACTGAAATTGCTCTTTCCAAAGTTACATGTGATCTAATTGCCAAATCTGATTGTGAAATTACATCTACAGATTTTTATCCTTCAAACTTTTTATTTTTATCAGTTCACTGGGCCCTTCATGTATTTACATTATTTTAAAGCAGTGATGTCAAACTCAAATTGAACAAGGATCCCCGGAAGCCATATACTGATTTAAAAACCACAGATAAACATTATCTATGCGGCATTGTATTTTTATTTATTCTGTTAACTATTTCCTAATTACATTTTAATCTGGTTCAACACTGGAGAGTTTGTGGCCAGTCACAGCTAGAGTCTCTTATTCTGAACCCTCCTGTTTTCCTCATTTCATACTGTTGACCACCCTCTTTCCCTTCTCTAGGTTTTTGTGACACTACTCTCTTCTGGTCTTCCTCATATTCTCCTTTTCCATCTCCTTTCTATCACCCATGTCATGCCCTCTATCTCAACCCTGCTGTGGTTCTCTAAGGACTAAGCCCACTCACCCTCCTTCAACATTCTCATCAGCTTCTTTGATTTAATGGTCATCTCTGAACAAATGACTCACAAATATATATTTTGGTTAACTCAATCCAAGTCTCTCCCACATCACCAATTGCCTACTAAAAATGTCAAGCTGGATTTCCTAGAGGCATTTCAAACTCGATGTGTCCAAAATTGTCTATTATTTTTCCTCCCAAACCCACTTCTCTTTGAGCACTCCCCATTTCTGTCAAAGGCACAACTACCCTCCCACATTTGTAACTTTGGCATTATGGCAATTATACAAACTTATGAAGTACTAACATTTATAACAGTCTTTAATAGCCAGTTTGACTAAAATGAATATGTTAATTGTTCTTCCCTGGAGTTCATCTGATTACTTGATAAAAAATTGAATGCATTTTTTCCACAGACTTTTAAGATTCAGTCACCTCTTCCAAGAAGTCTTCCCAAATTAACTCCATTCCATTCATCACTCTTCTTAGCACTATGTTTTCAAAATGCTATAAATGATTTTTAAAATGCTTATATGGTTTGTAATTACCCTCTTTTCATCAGACACTGGACTTAGAGTAAGAAAGACCTGATTTTGAATCTTATCTCAAATACTTACTAGCTGTGTGACCCTAGGCAAATCACTTGCCATCTCTCAGCCTTGGTTTCTTCATCTGTAAAATGGGGATAATGACAATACCTAACTCCCAAGGTTGTTATAGGAATTACATGAGATAACAAATATAAAGTATTTTGCAAACCATAAAGCACCACATCAATGCTAGCTATTATTATGTGGAAGAATGGTGATGCCTTCCACAAAAAAAGGGAAGCTTGGAAGAGGGAAGGCTTTTGGGGAAAAGATGATATCAGTTTTAGACATGTTGAGCTTGAGATGTCTCTGAGCCATCTTGATATCTGCTTGGTACTTACTGTTGGATATGCTATAAGCTGGTAGTCTAAACCTAATTTCTGCCAGACTGCTTTCCAGTTTTCCTAGAAACTGTTGTCCTTTCCCAAGTAGTTGAGGTCTTTGGTTTTACCAAACATCATGCTGCTATCTTAATTTCCTTCTGGACTGTATCTTATCTCTTCTATAGATCAAGTATGAGAAGTGATTGTTTCTCTCTGGTATTAATAACTAATTATTGTAT